CCTGGGGGCCAGGCAGAGGTGGGCACAGTGCCCCCTTGCCCTTGAATCAGGGCCTTTTCCAGAATGGGCAGGGATGGGGGAGCAACGGGGGTCCCCCCATTGCAATTCTTGCCGGTCCTCCAGCAGCAGCCGGTCTGGTGCTGCCTGGAGTCCTGGGCTCCGGTGGATCGCAGCGGGTGGGGGTTGGCTCAGGAAGGGGTAAGGACTGCGGGAGCTGGCCACAGGGCATGCGGGTTTGCCAGGGGCGACGGTTTGGTGCAGCGTTGCTGGTGTGCCAGCTGGGCAGCTCTGTGCACCCGGAATCAGCTGGAGGTGGGGAGGGGGTTGGGCGAGGAAGAGGAGGAGGAGGCAGGTTGGGAGTGGGTGGGCAGCTCCCCGGGGGCTACATGCCTCACTGAATATTGATCAGCTGCTTTCTTGTGCTCTCTCTTTGTAATGCGCCTTTCCTTGTGAGAGGGAGGGGGAGGAGATTCCTGTAATGAAGCCAACTAATTGGAGAGGGGGCTACTATTCCCATTCCTCCCCCCACACCGAGAAATTCCTTTTAATCTAGGACTCAGAGGCAGGGTTGGAAATTTCCTGGGAAAAACTACTTGAGGCCAGGGAGCTGGTAAATACCAGTGTAAACCCAGAATCTGGGCTGTAAGGAGACTACAGGAATGAAAATGTCTGAAAGAGTTAGCAGTCTGGTACTAGATTTGTGGTAATCTGTCCTGTTTAGCTCTAATGAAAGGACAGAGACAAAACAAAACAGAGTCTCTGCTTAAAACTGTGTGCTGTTGTCTTGGCTGCCTCAAAGGCTACGTCTAGACAGCAGCGCTTTTCTGGGATCCTGCGTTTTCAATCGTGAGGCAGAACCTGAAGGAGAGAGTGATCGGTATCATTAATTATCCAGTGATTTACCAAGAAGCAAAGAATTTGATCAGTTAGTTGAAACCAGTTGCTGTGGCACATCATACACTCCAAAGGGACACACCAGCAATTGGTGTTGCCCAGGAAGTATGGTTACTGATCAATAACATTCTTGCAGCACACAAAGCAAAAGTCCAGAAGAGATTTCGTGAGGCCATTACGCCCACACACGTGTTGGCCAGCCTCCTTCATCCAAAACATGCACAGTATAAATTGTTAGCTGAACAACAAGAAATTGCCAGGCAATGGTTGCTCAGCAAAAATCCTGATTTTCTGCCATATTTACCTGATTTCAAGTAGAAGAAACTCCATATTTAAAATCAGTGCTGTCCTCCGCTCTCAAGGAGACTGTTTCCCCTGTAACATTGTGAAAGAATTTGAAGACTGATGCAACTGCACCTCCCGTTCTGTGAAGTCAGATGGGATATCGGCAGTGGCCAGTGAAGTCAGTAGGCATAGGGTGAATCTTTTCAAATGTGGGATTCAAAATTGAGGAACAGACTTGGTCTGTCCACTGCGTCTTCTGTTAAAGAATGCTGCATAGCTACATGGACTTGCAACTCTCCATCTTTCGGATTTCTTAAGGCTTCAAACCGACAACTCTTCCTTATTGTCATTTTCATGTAATCTGAGGTTTTTCACTATTGTTTATATAATATTGAACACTCAGGGGCAGCCCGTGGCTATAGGCCGACTTGGCCGTCGCCTAGGGTGCCGCCTTCAATGGCGCCTGATGATGACATCACGGGGCACCCGGGGCGCCCAATGATGATGTTACCCCATTGACGGCCGTGCAGGCGGGGGTGCCGATCACATGTTCCGCCAGTGGCGCCAGCTGCTGCATCCCGCCTCAGGCCACTCCTGTGAGCATTGACATCTGATTCACAACACACACAACTTCCATGAGGAAAAAAACAAACTAGAATGCACACAGACATCCTGATGTTCAGTATTATAATCACATATATTAGTGCAGGGTGAACTTCTCTAGTCTGGCACTCTCTGGTCTGGCAACATCTGTGGTCTAGCATGATTTTAGTTCGCCGGATGTCCACCTATCATGGGTGTGGTGAAGATTCCCGTGGTGCCATAAAGTTTGTTTACAGCCACCACGCCTAGCTCTCCGTGTTCTATGCTGTAATTTAGCTCTAATATACCCCTAAATAAGGTTGAACATTAGGAAAAAGTTCCTAACTGTCTGGGTGGTGAAACACTGGAATAAATTGCCCAGGGAGGTTGTGGAATCTCCGTCAGTGGAGACATTTAAGAGCAGGTTAGACAGACACCTGCCAGGGATGATCTAGATCAGGGCTACTCAACACACGGCCCGTGAGCTGCATGTGGCCCGTGGCCTATTTGTTTGCAGCCCACGGTGCAGTTTGAGTTTACGTGGGGCTCAACACACGGCCCACGGGTGGGATCCTTTGAACGTGGCCTCCATTGGGAACACGCTCCATAATGGCAAATCAATATAATGGTCTTCTGTTGAGATGCGTTTTAGTAGTAAAATTCCTGGACTGTCATTGCTCATTAAAAGTGCTGTCATATGGGTGAAAATCGGGTAAATATTGCATTTTATTAATAGCAGCAGAACTGACTTAAATGAGGCCTGCATGTTGTGTAGTCTTGCCATAATCGTTGTATTCCTACCCATCAGTGAGAAAGAAGCTATTTGCATAGATTTGCATAGATTTGCATATATATTTGCATGTATATGCAACCTCACTTAAGTTGCAGCCCTCTGCATGTGCTATATCATTGTGGCCCCTGGGGCTTCCACAGTTGAGTAGTTCTGATCTAGACAGTGCTTGGTCCTGCCATGAAGGCAGGGGACTGGACTGGATAACCTCTCAAGGTCCCTTCCAGTTCTATGATTCTATGATAAATGTCTTCTAAGAGTCCAGTAAGCATTGGATGTGTTGGTAAAGCTGCTAGACCATATTGACTTCCTGTGGTTCGGCAAATTCTCTGGTTCAGCACCGGTCAGGTCCCGAAGGTGCCAGACTAGAGAGATTTAACCTGCAGTTTAACTTTTTCTTTGCACAACACTAAATCTACAGCCATATGTAACCACAGTTGGAATAGGTCACTGCAATGAGGTGTAATGTGGTTTGCCGCAAGAAAACAGTTTTGAAAATAGGAAGTTCCTTAAGCCAGAACAAATTTGTTTTTCCTGGTGAGATTAAAAAACATGATTTTACTTGGTAAATCCACCCCTGGTACATACCACCCCATGCCTGCTCACTTGCATGTTGGCGACCTCCAGACTAAGGTAACTAGGGCAGAAGTGACTTGAATGCAGGCAGACAGGGCTGAGTGAAATCCGTATTCTGATGCAACCTGATAGCTCAATCTCACTGCTTGGGCTCACATTGAAATAATTGCCCCTCTCTAATGAACAGGATCTGGAGGGTGGGATGGGAAGTCGGTGATGTGAACGCTATTCACATGTGTGTCCGACTCTTCCAACCCCGAAGGAAATACTTTCCAGGAACCTCTTCGTTTGTTCATGTTGTGTTTTGACACAACATATGGAGACAAACTGCCTTGTGGAGAACACCCCAGGACAGGCATGCTGTAATTCAGTTCTCTGTGTAAACTGGGTACTGGGTGCTGGAGTTAGGGGGGCGTTCTCTATATTGGCAGGCTGTCACTTTGCTTGACAGCTTTGTTATTCTGAACAGAAAAGGAATTAAAGGCTTGTTCTACATTAGGCAATGTTGTGCATGTGTTTGAAAGAGGGTTGTTCTTCTGGCATTTAAAGAACTGCAGTCTTACCACAGCTGGGATGAAATGGCTGCATGTTAAGGACATTATTATTAGGCTCGGAAAGATTTGATTTTTACTGGTAATGTGAGTAAACATTGATTTCACCATATACACACAGAGACAAGAAATATTTCCTTCAGTAATAGTCAGAGTTTACAGATTTGCAAAGTAAGAAAACTGCTTCTGGAGAACTTAGGCTGTGTCTACGTTGGCAAGATTTTGCATAAAAGCGGCCGTAGATGCTCTCTTGTGCAAATACTTTAACGCAAAAACTCTTGCGTTAAAAGTATTGGCACAAAATCTTGCCAATGTAGATGTAGCCTTAGAGTTTGGGGTAAGGATGTTTGCCTTGTATATTTCGACATGTGCTGTCAGTTGATATGTAATGATTGTGAAGCTTTCACTTTTTGAATTTCTACGTCTGCTGTTATTAAACCATTATGGTCTGACCCCTTCATGGTCTGAGATTTCACCCTTCCCCATAATTCCCCACAGCGATGGAAATGTAAATCTAGAAAAATAGGAGAAAGAGCTTGAAAGTAACCATCGACGTTATCCTTCACAATCCTAGCAAAATACAAATGAATGTTATTGGGAGCAACTCGTTTTCTCACTGACCTTTTGACGCCTCTATCATCCTGCTGCTGCATATCGCAGTCTGATTTACGTATTGACCTACTCACCAAACTCATGGGCATGATGTTATTCATCAGTGTGTGATAATGACTTGAACTGGGAGAGCCATGCTGTGTTTTGCAATGGGTGAGAGAAACAGCGCTTTCCCACTGAGGAGAATGTTTATTAGTTTATCAAGCGCATCCTGTTTTCACACGGTGGACTGTCCGTGGTCAGACCCCCAGCTGGGGTAAATCAATACATCTCCTTCAAAGTCGGTGGAGCTACGCTGATACACAATAGTGGAGGAACTGACCCAGCAAATCATGCATGTAAATGTCTCCAGAACAACAGAGCATCATGGGTAAGAGGCATTTTCATAATGTTTTCGCTGTGGGCCTATCCCAGTTAACCCCTTGTCTTCTGGGGCTCTTTAGCTCTGATGCAACCAAGTGCTTAATTATGTGCTTAATTTTAAGCACATGTGCAGTTTGGTTGATGTTAAAGTTAAGCACACATACATGC